ACCAGTTCAGCAGTGCAGGAATAAAGAACAGACCCTGTGTTGGCAAATTAACCGGCGTGGTCGAAGCGCACGTGGTCCTACGACGATATTAATTATAATCGGATGTAACAATAATACAACAGAGTGAACAAGCCGTGCTCAAGATTAATAAAATTACAATATGTCAAAAGACAGTGAAGCATGTTCCAGTCAAGTATATGGCTCGAAGAGCCACGAGCCTGTTGTGGTATGTATGTACATACAATTTTTAGGTTAATTAGTTTAGTTATGTTAATTATCCCACACAGCACAAATGACTGTTTGCCGGCTAATAATCGACTTTTTTCAGTCAAGTTAAAGCCGACTATTAAAGTTGACATTAAGCCGTCTATTTCTAGGTTGGTTTTTGTCAACTTTAACTGTCGACTGTAAGTCGACTTAGAGTCAACCATTTTTAGAAAATCAAAGTCGTCTTTTACTGAATAATTACAAGACTGTCGCTAGATAGCGTTTGCTGGTATCTGTTTCTCGCATTTAAAATTTGTCGAACTCCTCTATATAACCAATGTCAAATCGAAGTTCGGATATGTCATAATTAATTATACATTATTCATGTATGCACTTAGTGCGAGATGAATAATGTTTTTGTAACATATAAGCTAATAATGAGTATAAGTACTTAATGGTCGCTAGACTTCCGTTTCCGGTAGGATAGAAGTGAGTAGGAATAAAAGAGTGTGTGAAAATAAAAGGGATTGTGAGAGAGTGAGCGAAAGTGTGTGAGTGAAGGAATGAAAGAGCCGTAGGGGAAAGAGAGACAAGGGCGGGGGATTAAAGGGAGCGCGAGGGAAAAGGGTGTAGGGAAGATAAAGGTGGGAAGAAGTGGGATGTGTGAGAGGTTAGATTTGGAGTGGTGGGGAGAGAGAGGGAGGAGCTGAGAGATCGGGACTACGAGCATAGAGTAGAGAATAGCAAAGAGAGTCGGTGTGAAGCAAGATGGAAGGAAAGAGGCAAGGAGTAGACAGAATAGAGATGGCGGACAAGTGCGGAAGAGTGGGAAGGGAAAGAGCGGATAGTGTAAGTAGTGTAGGTAGCGGGGAGGAATATGTGAAGAGGAAAAGAGATATGATGGGGTCGAGCCCGGGGGCGGAGGAGAGGAAGGGAGAGGAGATTTTTAAGAGGAACAAGTTAGTGACAAGGTCACCGGTGAAAAAAGGAGGCGAGAGTGGAAATCTGGAGGAGATGATCAGAGGAATGGGGGAGCAGATTAGAATAGGATTAGAGGGCGTTAGACAAGAAATAAGGGAGTCGGCGGAGAGATAAGAGCAGTCAATGAGGAGAGAGATAAAGAGAATAAAAGAGGAGATGAAATTAAGGGAGAAGGGATGGAGGAGAGAGAAGAAGGAAATAAAAGAAAGAATTGAAGGAATGGAGAAAGAGTTGGAGAGAATGAGGGTAGAGAGACTAAGAGGAGCGGGGAAAAATGAAGAGGAGGGAAGGGTGGGAGGGATAGAGGGAGGGGGATTATGGGGAGAGAGAGTAAAGTTACTAGAGAGGAGATGGGAGAGGAAGGAAAAGGAAGAAAGAAGGAGGAATATCCTGGTGAAAGGACTGAAGGCAGGAGAAGAAGGGGAGGAGAAAGAGATAGAAAAGATAATAAAGGATTTGGAAGTAAAAGTGAAGATAGAGAGCTGTGAAGTAGTGGAGGCAGGAAGGAGAGAAAAGGGAAGCATGTATATCGTGAGATTGGATAGGGAGGAAGAGATCGGAAGAGCACACGTC